GTTTGTGTGTTTGGGTAGGTAACAGAGAGATAGATTTTTAGGGGCATCTGCTCAGCTCACAATATGTTCTCTGAAAATTACCCCATAGTGTGATCCACCTGCCAGTAAGCCTACCTCAGGGCACAGCTGCTGGGAGCAGGAGTAGATGATGTCTACTTCAGTTTTCTTTTCCAGGAATTTACAGTTTTGAAGGAAGAAACCTAGGCTGGAGATGGTTGGAGCTGGGTCACATTAAAGGCAGCGTTCTAAAAGGAGTTCACAATTTTGAGCTGCCAAGGCCCCTGAGCTTCTTTGGCTCTTGCTTGTGGCCTGGCTGCAGCGATGTGCTGGTAAATGTTTTAACAACTGACTCTCAAAAAAAAGAAAAAGCCCTGGTTTCTAGTGTTTGCCAATTTCCATGGTGTAAATACTCCACCATAGATGATTTCAAGCTACCAAAGTGATGTCATTGAGTCGGGAATTGAGAAGAGTTGTGAACAATCGGCTCTGTCAAGTCAGTATGAGCTGGCTTCAGCATACCACTGCCTGGTTGTCAACTCTCCCTTGATTGAGTAGAACTCTCTAGTAGCTTTCCAATAAACTCCCTGTGGGGTTTAGACTGCTCAAGGGAGTTTCTTACAACCAAAGTATATTTAACAAGAACCACCACCTAGCATAACCACCTCTTATTCTGAACAGTTACAGCCAATCCTCTAAAAGTGTGGTCTAACTTTGGCTGATTTTTCACAGCCACACCCTTTAGATATTTATAGCCATTTATATATATGAAAAATTCATACCTCTTTCTGCAAATGTGCAGTCTTCACCAGCTCCAGAAAAGAATATTTTTTCATTGACGTTGCTTAGGATAACAGGATTATCATTGGAAATCCCTGGCCTCTAGTGTCCAGTATAGGAAACTACTTTTGTCTTAGCCATGAATGTTAATGAAAGATTACCAGGTGAGTTGGATGGTGAAAACAGTTAACGTTCTCAGACACTAACCGAAAGGTTGGAGGTTCAAGTCAACCCAGAGGTGCCTTGGAAGAAAGGTCAGGTGATCTACTTTAGAAAAATCAGCCTTTGAAAACTCTATGGAGCACAGTTCTACTCTGACATACGGGATCACCATGAGCAGATTCCAACTCAGTGGCAACTGGTTACCAGGTGAGTTAAAGTAGCTCTTGACGACTATCAGGGGATTGATTCTAGGTTATAAATAGGACGGTATTATGCATATTGGCCCCTCAACATTTCTTTTTTAATGAAGTCCAAGGAAGCTTTTACACCTGGGTTTCTCAACTTGGGCATTACTGACAGTTTGAGCCAGATTATTCTTCGTTGTAGGGGACTGTCCTGTGTATTGTAGGATGTTTAGCAGCATCCCTGGCCTCTACACACTAAATGCCTGTAGTACTCTCCCTCAAGTTTTGACAACCAAAATGTCTCCAGGTTGCCAAATGTCCCTTGGGAGGCAAATTTGCCCTGGTTTGGAACCACTGCCCTACGCTGATGAAGTAAATGTATCCCATGTATCCCTGGCTGACCCTAAAGCAGCACTAAACTGTTGTTTATGGTACCAGGTTAGAGCATAAGCCTGAAGCTCAGGCTGCAGCTTCTGCTGATTCCCATATTGTGTACTGTAGGAGGAAAAGTCCCAGATGCCAGATATGACAGCATCTGCTCTTTAATAGGACACAGAGCTTACAAAATTTTTTAAAATTTAAATTGAAAAAAGCACTCCTTACAAGGTATGATGGGAGTGAATATTTCATTCCTTGAATATAGTATTTGTTAAGCAGCACCCTGAGATAGGTAAAGTTAGTAGGTGCTGGAGCTGATGCAAAGGCAGACTGTGGTCCTGCCTTTAAGGAACTAAAAATTCTGGAGAGACATCTTCAATTATAAAAGAAAGCCCTATTTCAACTGACTTAATAATGAGACTGAATTGGCTCACACAGGTGAAAAGCCCACAGGCAGTTCAGGCTTTAGGTAAGGCCGGATCCAGTGGCTCAAGGTTCCCATCAAGGACTGGGCTTCTTTCAGTGTCCCTTTTCTTCCTTTTCTATTGTCAGTTTTATCCTAAGGCTGACTCACTTGTGGTCATGAGGGATGCTAGCAGGTTCCAGTGTTCCATGCTTCCTCATTGCTAGTGAAAGACTTGCAATTCACTTTGATTGGACTAGTTTAGGTCACATGTCACCAGGGGGATAGGGCATGCTGTTGCCTTAGACCACTTACACCAATTTCCATGGAAATCACACAGATTCCCTAAAGGAGGCCATGGATTGCTGGGATGGGAGAAAGGGCAACAAATGCTGGGTGAGTGGGGTGGAGGTCAAGGTGGGGGAGTTATCTACAAGCCAAAGCCCTGACATAGGGCTTTGCTTTTCACACAGGATCTGCCAGGTGATTTCACCAGTCCCAAAGCCTTAGCATCATTTTGGGAAGTTTCCATAAAACTCGTTTCATTTTTCTGTGCAGTGTGCCCGCTGCTCCTCTGAAACCTCGTTCCATCTCAGCTCCTCCTCTCTCAATATCCGCTTCTCTCCTTTCAAAGCTCAGAGTCAGCACTTATGCAGCTATTTTCACCTCCCCAGACAACTTTCCTTCTTCCACTCTTTGTACTTACCTGTACCTTGTACCGGCTCAGATTTCATTTTCCTGCTTCTCCAGCTTGGCTGTATGATGGGTTTAGACCTACATCCTGCCTTTAAAAACTGCCTGAAATGCTTTCTGCCCTTCCAGCTGCGTGTAGCTCGCAGATTAGACATGGGATAGAAGGACGAGGTGTAGCTGCCCTTCCAATCGCCCCCTCTGCCCAGCTCAAGCCATTCAAGGCTATGTGGTTATGGCCACTGCCTTGGTGCTACAGCTGTGTACCCACGGTGCTAACATCGCGGTATGCACAATTTAAAGAATAGTAACATAGTCTTATACTTTTTACATGATGCATTTTAGCTTATTTAATATATTTGGGCCAGGTTTAATGCATAAGAAGTGTAAGAAGCTGGGGAACACATTAAGGTTTGAAAATCTTCTTATGACAAAAAGTCCTCTTTATAAGATTCTTCTGTAAATTGCATTTTCCTGGAAAATAACCTTGGTATGAAACATGGATTCCCAGGATGGACCGTGTCAACACATTTATCCTTGTCAGCCTTTCTGGTTTGAGCCTCAGCTTAGCCTTTCTGAATCTCATTTTCCTCGTCTGTAAACTGGGAATAACTCTCTCCCGTGAGGAAGTCATGCCCTGTTGAACATCAAGTACGTCTCACTCATCAGCCTGATCACCTTTCTTTTAATCTTTATAATATGAACGCTCTGAGGCCCCACCTGCCGAGACTGGCCAGAAATCCAACCTTTTTCCAGGGTTTCGTTTGGCAGATATTCCCCAGAGGTCAGGACGAATAACCTCCAGATATGGTTTATCCTGAGGAGCCCTGGTGGCACCACAGTTAAGTGCTCAGCTGCTAACCAAAAGGTTGGTGTCTGAACCCACCTAGCCGCTCTGCAGAAAAAAGACTGAGCAATCTGCTCTCATAAAGATTACAGCCTAGAAAACCCTATTGAGCAGTTCTACTCTGTCACTTGGGGTCGCTATAAGTCAAAATCGACTCGACAGCATGTAACTACAAGAACAAAAACGTGGTTATCCTTAGGTCTAGTTTGTATCTGGCTTGAAGGACCATCGATTCCTGTCAGTTTGTTGTACTGTGGTGGCCTGTGTGTTGGTATGATGTTGGAAGCTATGCCACCAGTATTTCAAAAACCAGCATGGTGGACAGGTTTAAGTGAAGCTTCCAGACTAAGACAGACTAGGAAGAAAGGCCTCGTGATCTACTTCCAAAAATTAGCCAATGAAAACCTTATGGATCACAAACGAATACTGTCCGATATAGTGCTGGAGGATGAGCCCCCTAGGTTGGAAGGCACTACATAATAGCCTTAACAATGGACTCAAGCATATTAATGATGGTGGAGATGGTGCAGGATCAGGCAACATTTGGTTATGTTATACATAAGGTCACCATGAGTTGGAGCCAACTTGATGACAACTAACAAAAAACGGTTATGGGATTATTTTTCTCCTCTGCCCTGGTGCTCCACCCACACTTCAAGCCTTTTCCTACTCTTCCTCCACTAGCAACTAATTATTTCAGTATATCATTTGGTAAAGCACTATATAAGCATTTGTTGTTTTAAAGGTTTTAGAATGTCTAACATGTCCTATCTTTATAACAGTGACCCACATTTTCAGAGGGTCAACAGGACACTAAGAATCTAACATTCTATAACTGACAATTCAGAACATCTTTGGGAGCAAATGCACAATCCATGACCAGAATATTCTGAGAAAATAATTTATTCACATGTACATCAGAAAATTTATTTTTAAAAACATTTAAGAATGGCTGTTAATGACCTCTTGAATTTATCCATTTGGGATTCAAATTGAAATGAAAAAAAAAAAAAATCAACAAATCCCTCAACAGGATAGATAATTTCTTTGGTGCAGGACTTAAACCATTAACTCTCCCTACTCCAGGATGGACCCAAGGCAACTTGAGTTACAGAGAAGCAGGATTCCTAACTGTGGTGTGGTTTCCTTTTTCTTTCTTTAAAGCTTTTCCATCTTCAGGATTTTTGTGTGTTTGGTTTTGTTGGGTTGTGAGTTTTTTGGCAAGAATTGAGGACTAGGAGGTAGCAGTGAAACAGTAGAGAAAAATGTAGGTTTCAGTTTATCAAAGAAGCCCATTGTCTCTACATCAAGCCAGTGCAATGATCCTTTAAATAAATTGCTTGAAAATCAAAACAAATAACTTAAACTATAACCCAAGCAAAATAAAAAATATATGTGCATATGTAAATATTGCCCCCTAACTTCCTTTACCTCGAATTGCTTAACTTTAAATAATATCTGGGATTTAACAGCTTAGAGAGGGGAACTGAATGTTATGCTGTTCAGGCATGAATGGACTGGGTCTTCCACGGACATCCCCTCGTGCTTTTGTTATAAAATCAATTAACTTTGACTTTAAACTCACCTGGTTGTTACATTTTGTTAGTGCGAATGGGGTAGGGGAAAAGGACAGGTTATTTGATGAGAAGGAGCCCTAGTGGCGCAGTGTTTAATGCAATCAGCTGCAAACCAAAAGGTCAGTGGTTCGAATCCACCAGCTGTTCTGCAGGAGAAAGATGTGGCAGTCTGCTTTGATAAAGATCTACAGCCTTGGAAGCCCAGGAGGGCAGTTCTACTCTGTCCTATATGGTTGCTATAAGTCAGAATGGACTCGAGGGCAGTGTTTTTTTTTTGATGGGAGGGCTTTTCCTCCAGCCCCGCTACTTGATGTCGGCCCCCAAGGTGGGGCATGATGGGCTGAGGGACCTTGAGGGTTAGAGCAGTTGGCGGGCCTTGCTGGTAACTGTTCTCTGATGAAGCCCAGGTCTGGGAACCATAACTTGCAGGTCTCTTCAATCCACTGCAGGCCTTTGCCTTCTCTGACACTATCCATTTCTCGCCAAGGATTTGAAGACTCAAGTGCAGAGTCTGGCAGACTGAATGTGACTTGGGCAAAAGAAGAAGCAACTTCCATTCAAGTCCCTGCTACGTGGGTAGTCACTGGGTCAAAGAGGCTGGAGGTATCCACACTGCCTCCCATTCATCACCTGGATCCACAATGTGTTTAAGCACCAACCCTATGCACTGTGCCCCTCTGAGGTGGCACTGCCCGCAGTGATCAGCCCCCTCTCTTTCCACTCATTCTTTGCTATTTCATGGAATGCTCACTGACTTTGAAACTTTGTTTCCACTTCATGCTGAGAACCCACTGGCTCATACAGATTCCATATGACTGTTAACATTCACCATGATATCTAATGGGAATCTCTACCAATCTTTGGCACCAAAGCTAAACAATATCCTGATGAGAGAAGGACATAAGACTACAAAAGGCCTAACACAATCTGCTATGGAAATCTTTTGAGGATTGTCAAGTTAGATCGTCCTTAGTTCTTATTAAGAGTTCTCCTACTGCAAAGCAATTTTATGTTGCTTTAGACTCGTCAAGGAAAGGAGGTCATTAAACTAAAGGGGTACCCCCTGCCCCAGCTGGATTTTGTTGCCAACCAGGTTCCTTAGCACCCTTTCCTCCTGTACATTGTCTGGCACATGTAGAGTGTTTCTGGCTTTTTTTTTTTCCTTTTAACTTGTGACAAATTCTTTTGATTCAGCTGACAGTATTTCCCCTAAACCCAGGATAAGAAATCATTGGGACTTTACATCTGATTACCATAGATTCTTTCTCCCATATTACAAGGTTCAAAGTTACAAGCAGAAATAATATACCTTTGTTGTGTTGGTGTTTTGTTAGTATTTTTAACATTAAAATTAAGTGTTATGTTTCTGAGAAAGTAGCCAGAATAATACTCTGTCAAATTTAGAACCTACTGGCACAGTTAGAAGTCAAACATTATTCCTAACCACATTATACTCTTTTGTCTGCCAAGAAATTTTGACAATTTTAATATCTGAAGGCAAGCCTATATGATAATCCCAACAGTATTCTGGTGATAAGATTTTAGTGGGTTTGTTGAGAAGGAAATACTTGTTTAGGTGGCTTTCATCATGCCACTCTGCTTCTATGTTATTTTTCTTGTCCTGGAGGATTCCCTTGAAGCACTCCCGGGTGATGTTTAGAACCTGAATGGGTGTTCCTCCAAAAATGGCCGCGTGGTAATAAAAATCCCCCTGGCCGAATGGAATATATGCTGCTGATGCCCTACGTCTCTCATAGGTAAACTCATCAGGATTTGCCTTGTACCACCAGGCCTGTAGCTGAGCCACTGACTGGCCCAGGGTCTCTACCCCAAAGTTGTCTTGGAAGACTTGGTCCACATCCATGCAGAAGAGGAAGTCGACTTCACGCTGGATGTGGCCCACAATGTGTTCCCCAATGCTCTTCATGCGCATCATGCTGATGTCCTGCCATCTCTTCTCAGGCTTGATCTCAAACACTTTGAATGAACGAAGAGGACCCAGCTCTACCAAAGGCATCCTGGAGATATCATCCACCATGATGTAAAAAATGACTTTGTGGCCAACCATGAAGTACTTATCAGCAGATATTATGAACTCCTCTAAGTAATGCTCAATATATCTGAAACAAAGAAGAAGAGGATCAGCTTAGCCTCTTAGATTTCTGCAGGTGACCACATGCTATTAGAATCATGTTGTCTGTGTTTTACAGCTGGGAGAGAATGATTTTTCCCCCACGCTAGATGTGTATTTTCATGTGGATGGACATCTGTTTGTCTAACACTTGTGGCTGCTCTCCACTGATCCTGGAGAAGTGGGGTAACTTATCTGAGAGCAAACTTTGGGCATATACAACCCTGTCCCCTCCTCTCTCCTTGCTCTTGGAAGATGGCCTGTCCAAGACAGCATGTGTTCTCGACAGCTCTGGGCCTTGCAGTAGGTTTAGTGGTACAGCTCTACTCCCACATCTGGGGGCTTGCAGTTCTCAGTGCTGCAGGTACCTGGGTGCCTAAGTTGTTCTAATTACATGGTTCAATATTAAGGACTTGCAGATATAAACCATATTCTCCAATACCAGCTTTAACAGTAAGGAGGGTGATATTTACTATCATCTGCTTTACCCTTTATCTTATTTATCAATTAGTTCAGACTTTGAGCAGGCAAAATGGGTGCTAGTTCTTGAGCCCCCCTCAAAGGCTGCAGCCTATACCCGAATTTGCTACTGCTCTACCAGATGTAAGGATGATATGATATTTGGGTCCTTTGGGGATGCATTAAGCCCAACCATCAGTGCTATTTTATCCTCCTCTGTGACCCAGAAAATAGATTCTGGGACATGGATCTCCCTCTATATTACATATTTCACCCTGTCAGCCTGCCACTGGCCATCCAAAACACCAATCTCATTATCCGGACATCACCATTATAAGATCCATCCAAATAGCAGAGCAAACAACCTTAGCTTTAACCTTATTTTAGCCATTTATCCATTAATTCAAAAAACCCCCATTATGTTGATGTCTTTGGTAACTCCAAGCTACATACTATCTTGTGAAACCATGTTGTGGAGGTCACAGGGAAGAGAAAGAAGGAGAAGTAGGGTGCCTTAGTACAACTCATTCAAACTCAAAACTCATGCTCAGTGAATGATGACTGAATTTAATTTGATCAGACTCCTGGCCGATCATGTTTTGTGAGTAATAATGACTTTCTGCTTTCTGTTGCTTCCTTTCTGTACTGCCAAAATAAAGTGTGTTTATAAAGTTGGCCTCTGGAAATTCAAGGGTTTACTGCATTGATTCTTTAAATGGAGAAAATATATCTGAGCAATATAAAGAGGGAGTTTGACATAGCTCTGTGGCTTGTGGCCAAGAAACTCTTCAGTACTCTGGAACTTTAAGAAAAATCTACCGTGCCCCGAAGCTTGAGAAACAATACTGGGAGAAAAAAGTCATTGTGACATTTAACATTGTTTAGCAATTAAAGCACTACACTTGGCTCCATACATTGTTATTTGAAAACAAACCAAAAATCACACCTCCTAAAGTCCAAATTCACTAATTGTGGAGATTTATTGCCTATGAGCACAAATAGCCCTCTCTTGCTTCAGAGCTGAGAGCACAGAGCTCTCGTCAGGATATACGATTTATAGTTCAGTTCTGCAGACTTGCAGTCAGATGGTTGACGCCATTGTGAGGCAGTGTGCAATGTTCTGTTCTTTTTGGAAAACTTGTTCAAATCAATTGGCAACATGGCCAACTTGTCCTCTTTTGTGCCAAAGATTATATGAGCTGTGTACTGGTTCTTGACTCATAAAGTTATAGATTCTTCTAGTAAAAACGTCAAAACTCCACACCACTCTTCTCTATTAGAGATGCTGCTTAGGCCCCTGGGATCAGCACATTCACTGGAATTAGAATTTGATTAGTATGAGTCGGAATCCACTCGACAGCAGACAACAACAGTATTGTTAACAACAGCCATGGCCGCCAGGCTCTGGTTGGAGAAGGTTGTCTTTGGAGAACTGTCAGATCATCACCGTGCTCTCCTCTAGGCCCTGCTTCAGGCTAAGCTCAAGGGTCAACCAGGGCCTTGAGCTCTCTTTGTACAAGACAAAGAAATCAACTTTCTACGTGGCTTTCTCAGAACAGGTGCAGACATGAAGGCCCAGACAGGGTAAAAATAGGACAACTGAACGTTTGCTTTTGTTTTTTTGAAGAAATATTGATGGGGACAATTTTTTGAGGCTGCCAAGCATGTTGCCTCTCTCATTGCTCTATTTGTTCTCGCTATAACCCAGGCAAACCTCTTAAAGTTTCACCTGGGAAATATCCATAACCTTCAGGACCTATGCTTGAATGGCAATTAGATTTTATCCAGCTCCCACCTTCAAATGGTTACAAATATGAATTAGTGATGATCTTCAGATTTTCACGCTGGGTAGATTTTCCTAGCCGCTGTGCCACTGCAACATTTGTACCTAAGAAACTTCCTGAAAACATATCGCCCACTTGAGGAGTAACAACGATTGTTTGCAGTGATGGGGGACCCACTTTACTGGACAAGTAATTAAAGAAATATGTTAAGATTTTTCCTATTTATCAAAAACTTCATTGCCCTTATCATCCTCAATCTTCTGGGCTAGTAGAAAGAACTTGGGTATAGTAAAAACCCAATTAGCCAAGCTTTTTGGGTCCCTAAGCTTATCCAGGTCTAAGGTCCTTCCCTTAGTCCTTCTAAATTTGACGTCCACTCTGTTTGGGCCACATAAATTAACCCCACATGAAATTATTACTGGAAGGCCTATGACTCTCCCTAATTTGTCAACCTATTCTGATTCCAATTTAATATAACTTGAATTATTGAAATATTGTCATTCTTTGATTCAGTACTCTAACGAGCACCTTTCTCAAGTCAAGGAAGCTTTTGACAGCCAAAATTTAGAAATACAAAAATTACCTACTATTGAACTGGGTGACAATGTACATTGGAAGAGGCACCAATTAAAAGATTCCCTGGAACCTCAGTGGAAAGGATCACATTTGGTCCTTCTTGCTAACCCTTGTGCCACTAAATTACAGAGAGTTAAAACTTGGATCCACCTATCTCAACTTAAGAAGGCTAAACCTCCTGCCTGGACTGTTAAACCTACTGAAGGACTCAAACTGAAGTTCAAACACCCTTGTGGCCAGAAGCAGATGACATCAAAGTAGACAGCTCCTCCCAAGATTACAGAACAAGATTTCATGCAACCTGCTGAAATATTTGGACTTTGTTTCCTGATTACTGGTATTCTTATGGCAGTTGCTTTATTACACACTTATGGTATTATCCCTTATTTTAATATCCTCTTTTTCCATGTAAATAACTAAGAAGGAGTTTGCTTTATCATAGTTATTATTTTTATTTGACCTATTGTATTATTTTTTAATTAGTATTCTTACACTATGAAGTCTTTCTTAAGTATTCTCTTACTGCATATCGTGACTCTTGCTGATGCCTGGCATGATAACGCCTTTGTTAGATTAGCTCAATCAGTAGCTAGTGTTGGTAATCTGACTGACTGTTGGATTTGTCATCAAATCCCAAAATCTGGACATACTAATTCAGACTCTTTAGCTATGCCTGTGTTTAACTATAGCTCTGTACCTGATTCTATTGTAAATCCTAATATTTCTTTTAAATAGGCTATACATGTCAGGTTGTGGCACCCTCTGGAATTATTAACAAATCCCCAGGCGCCATGTTTCAATTAACTCAACACGCTTGAGTCAGTGATACAGAGGAAAGCTTGAAAAACTGTACCAAAAATATACGGAAGTTTTACCCATGTACTGATTGGTCACTCATACACTCAAGGAATCCCAGGTATTTTCAAATTCTTATACAAGGGACCTTGCAGCAGCACCAAAGGAAAGCCACCCTTTTGTCAGATCATTTACCACCCTACATATTGGGGTGGCTATTGTCTATTTGTAATAACTCATTGACTGAAGAATGGCTCAAAAAAGTCAACGAAACTATCCCTTCTCCACAAAATGATACTGGAAATAATATGATCTGTGCTCCTCATGCATATGTATTTTTATGTGGGGATCAAAATACCCCACTAAGAAAAGCCCAAATCCGAATAACAAGCCCTATGCTTGGGCATTACCATGCCTAGATGGTTTAAAAATGATAGGTCAATGTACACTTGACTGTTTAGGGGTTCCCGTAAGTCTCCACTCTTAAAGTGTATACTCGACGAATGATCTGAAATTCTTTTCTTGACATAAAAGAAATTATGAAAACCCTTTAACAGACAGATCCAGGGATGGATGGGAATTTCTCCAGGTCCTTTTTCCACTTGTGGGTATCTCTAAACTTGAAAAATCTATTCACAATTTGTCTGCTACTATGCTCCAAATAACAAATGAATTAGCAGATGGCGTAGAGCCCAACAAAAATCTTTAAATGCTCTTGCCAAAGCTGTACTGGATTATAAAATTGCCCTTAATTTTCTTCTAGCATAAGGAGTTTGTGCAATTGCTAATACCTTTTGTTGTACCTGGATAAATACATCTGGAGAAGTAGAACAAGATCTTAAGTCTGTCAGAAAGATACATGGCTTCAACTACCCCCTATGTCCAACTCCCCTTTTCTTGATATTTTTAGTTGGCTACTGTGATGGTTAAGGTTGTGTGTCAACTTGGCTGGGCCAAGATTATCAGTGGTTTGGCAGTTATGATGTAATTTGGCAGTTATGTAATAATGTATTCACCTCCATGATGAGATCTGCTATGAGGAGCTCATCAGTTGAAAGGGGAGTTTCCTTGGGGGTGTGGCCTGCCTCCAGTATATAATGGATATTCTGGCAACGCTCGCAGGCTTTTGCTCACTCTGGAACCTGCATCTAGCTCATCATCATCTGACCTCTGGTTCTTGCAACTTGAGCCAGCAACCTGCCATTTTGCCTGCGGATCTTGGGATTCATCGGCCTCTACAGCCTGTGAGACAGCGGCCTGCCATCTTACCTGCCAATTTTGGGTTCATCAGCCCCTGCAGCTAAGAAAGAGTACTCCTATTTATCAAAAACTTCATTGCCCTTATCATCCTCAATCTCCTGGGCTAGTAGAAAGAACTTGGGTATAGTAAAAACCCAATTAGCCAAGCTTTTTGAGTCCCTAAGCTTATCCAGGTCTAAGGTCCTTCCCTTAGTCCTTCTAAATTTGACGTCCACTCTGTTTGGGCCACATAAATTGGAGAAATGCTCTAAATAAGAAAATGGAAGCTGAAACAGGAACCTACCAACCATTGCAAGAGGTAGTTCTGACCAGCCAAATCTTCCCTGAGCAAATCCTCCAGGAGTGATAGGGTAGAATGACCTGAGGAACCCATGGAAGAGTGGTCTTCCATGCTTGAACATGGAAAACCACTGTGATTACCTAGAACCAAACCTACTAATGTTAAGTCAATTCCAGCTGATAGCGACTTGCTATAAATCCCTCTACCCTTAGAACAGGGTCTTGAGAGCCTAGGAGAAAGAATGATGTGCATTTGGACTATCTAGAAGCTGGCACTCTGGAAATTTCCCCAGGACACCATGGAGGTCAGTAAGGAGGTGACTGTGGATGGCTATAGACTCTGGGCTTGGTAAGTGTAGCAGATATTTTTGCCTGCATCCCAAGACCCTCATTTTGTGGTGTGAATGGGAAGACTCACCTACTCTTGTTTTGTCAGCCTTTTGGGACCTCAGCAGAAATGACACAGAAATGGTATTATTTAAACATTGTCTTATCTAAGAATTCAAATAATTAATGAACAGCCTTCCTGAGTCCACAGGAGCCCTCACAGTCATTTTGACAATGGATCAAGAAAAAGTAAAGGATAATTTTATTAGCAACACTTACTTTCCAATAGCAAAAACTGTCAAACCCACAGTAATTTTCTGTTTGGCATAATAATTTTCTAAGATGGCTTTGTTGTAAGTGCCTTCCCACACTACTGGAGCCTTCCATCCAGTCACCGTCACAACTTCTGGCCGTTTCCTGGTAACAAAATATAGAGCCATGAGTCAGGACAGCTTTGCTAAGGTGGGGCAGAGACTGTTTAAGGAAAAACTGGCGTCAACTATGATCTATGGTTACTGTCTTTGAATCCTGTTAAGCTACAAAAGTTGGCTGGGTGGTGTGACACTTGTAGGGCAGCATCTTCTGGGTGAGGGACAAGATGCTTTGGCCCACATGCCTATGAGGGTTGTCTTGGGGTGCCCTTAGAGACATCCTTACCTCCATATCTCCTACCCTCTTTCCTCCTTCTGCTTTCCTTGTTCTCCTTCTAAATCCCTTTCCCTATCTCTCCAGCCCCTTCCTAAAGCTGCCAGTGGCATTTTGGGGCATGATTTATCCCTGTGAGTGGCACCTGAGCCTAAAAAGCCCTAATCTTGTTTTAGAGGGATGAAAGATATTAAAGCTGAAAGAGAAAAGGCTGTTTAGATTTGCCTTTTGCCAGAAAGGACTTTTGGGTAAGCACCTGGTTATAGGCCAGAAAGGGCCCCCACCTAGGGGTCTGGTGTTGTTATTCATTTTGCAAACAAGGAGACAGAGGGACCCATAAACAAAGGCCCAACAAGGCCAAGAGTGGAAAATGGGGCTTGGGCGCAGACACCCTCCTCAGACCACACCGTCTCTTTACTAGGAACCAAATGTGGGGAGGGGAAAGCATGTTCTCTACACTCAGAGAGCTAGAAAGGGACTTGGCAAAGGCAACATAAACACAGGAAGCCACGGAGGAACAACAACAAAAGAACAAAACCATAAAGGGTAAATGCAAAAGGATGGGGCCCAGCATAACGGTGAAGCTCCCTGCACGAGCTCCAACCCCCATCATTCAGGAAGCAGCTGCATTTCCCCTGCTGGGAAGCCGAGACTGAAATATAGTTGTTTAGATTCAAACCCCAGGATGGGCACGGCACCCTGCTTAGCACTCGCTGGCACTTCACTAGGGGGAACATCTCCACTCAACGCCTCCCCATCCTCCAGGGCAAGTGACTGAGACAGAGTCCTGCCAGTCCCTGCCACTCACACCCATGTGGCCCTGGTAAGGCTGCCGGGTGTGAGGGGAGCGAATAGATTGGGCCATGGAGAACCTCACTGTTCCTCACACAACCGCTGCTGCCTTAAAGCAGAACACTGGCTGGAGGGCTGTGTGTTCACAAAACTGCTGTCACCCCATTAGCAAAGCAGGGTTTTTCCACAGTGAGGCTGGGCAATGCTGGGTCATCCTTACCTTGCCCCAGCCCCAGCAGTGGAAAAAAGAGCCTCAGAAGGCCCTCCCTCAAGCCTCCTATCCCTCTGCCACAAAGCTCTGCACACCCTAATTCTTCAGCTGCCTCTGCCCTCCATCCCATCCCTTGCTCTGCTTCATTCTTCCCTGGCACAAAGATGGGGCACTCTCAGGCTGCTCACAGCTCTGCTCTCAGCGCCCTAGATGTGCCTGCAGCACAGAGAACAGAGGAGCACTCAGTTTCCTTCAGTCATGAAAGAAGCTTCCATGGACTCTGCCCCAGCCTATGCTAGGCACCTTCACATTCACTTTCTCATTTAGTCCTTGCAAGGGCCCTGCTATGTCTATCTCCACTGTACAGATAAGAAACCCAAGGCTCAGAGAGGCTCATTAACTTGTCCAAGGTCACATCACACAACTGGTTACTGATGATGGTAACTAAGAAACATTGAGCACGTCCTATGGGGCCAGGCAACGTCCTAGGGCTTTACCTGTATTAAGGGCTTCACTCTTCTCAGCTATTTTGATTCCCATTAAACAGATGAGAAAACTGCAGCACAGAGAGGTTAAGTAATTTGCCCAAGGTCACACAGCTGGTAAGGGGCAAACCTGGGATTTGAACCCATGTAGTCTGACTCTGGAGTCCATGCCCTAAACCATCACATTATATTGCTTCTTACATGGGCATTTACTATTATGCTGATGAGGCTGGGGTTAAAACCTAATCTAAAGGTAACACTATTTCCTCTAAGCTACCTCAGCATTTTTATCAGCATTACTGAGAAATGATGAGCTTTTCTTTCTTTTTTCTAAGAAGCTTATGTGGTGCTTTGAGTCACAGAAAACCTTTGGCTTTGCTGAATGACAAGATTTCAAACCAAAAAAAACCATACACACACACACACACACACACACACACACACAACACACACACACATGCACAGAGCTTATGCTTCTTTAACTGCTGTCTCTGAACTTAAATGGAGACTCTTCCTTTTATTGCCATTTGTCGCCATCTCATTCACTATAGTCCTGAGTTTTAGTCTGCCAAGGATCTTTTAGCAGTTCTGACCCAGCTTCCTGGCTGAGTCTTGCGGCTGTGTTTAAGCGAGATGTTTGGTAAGCAGGTAATACTATTTAAATTAAAAAAGAGAGAGAGAGAGAGGAGGAAAGGAAAGGAGCAGGTACACTTATTTAACACTTAACTGTGCACCAGGGAAGAAGCCCTGGTGGCACAATGGTTAAGCACTCGGCAGCTAATTGAAAGGTTGGTGGTTCAAACCCACCAATCACTCCTCAGGAGAAAGATGTGGCAGTCTGCTTCCAGAAAGATTACAACCTTGGAAACTCCATGGGGCAGTTCTACTCTGTCCTATAGGGTTGCTATGAGTCGGAATCAATTCAATGGCAACATGTTTGGTTTTTGTGCACCAGGGACTACGTATTTGACCTTTATCATCTCATTTAATGCTTACAGCCACCATAAGAAGTAAGTGCTATCATCATCCCCATTTTACAAATAAAGAAGGTGGGGGTAGGAGAGAAGGAGAAGGGACCATATCTTTATCCTTTTGACTTATACAAAGGACCACGCAGGGCCATTCATTCCCTCAGTGCATATTTCCTACATCCCTGCTCTGCACCAGCCCAGTGCCAAATGCTGAGATGAGAGAAATAAGACCCAGTCCTGTGAAAATCTTCCAGTCCTGACAGGTGGTCGGCCTGCTACATACTCTTCAACTGCAAAACCACTCAATTCACATCTTCTAGAAAGATGGAATCAGAAAATCAGTGTCCAATTTGGTAACTTGGATGGAAAGGATTCCTTCTAGCAAGAAGGAAAAGTAACAATATTAAAAATTAGTTTTTAATTAAAAATTAAAATGGTCTGTTTCCCAGCTGTTAGTTACTGAATTCCACTGACACTTCCAACATGTCAGCAGTCCTGACTAAGAAGCCAGACAACAGCCTGAAAATGCAAGGCAGGAGGAAGAAGGAAGGGAGGATGAGAGGAGATCAGCTTCCTAGATGAACCTCTCCATCAAGGAGTCTGAGTCTTAGTCATTAAAACTCATGCAGATGTGAAATAAGGAGAAGAACAAGGGTGGAGTGGAATCAGTTAGGTCATGTGAGACAACCAGGTGTCAAGCAGGCAGTTAGGTAAGTGTGCAGGCCTCAAAGGAAACATTTGTGGTAAAGATACAAATGTGGGAGTCATCATCACACAGATGCTATCTCAGCCATGGAAATGAATGAGAACACCCTGCAAGATGTGTAAATGAGAAGAGACCAGGATGCGGGACTTAGCCCCTGGAAACTCTAATATCTGGTGGGCTGGGGAGAGGGAGATAACCCTATAAAGGTGACTTGAGAGGAAAAGAATAGGAGGAAAATTAAGAGAATGTGATGTCATGGATGCCAAGAGATCTTGATATACAGATATGGAAATATGTCCACAATATATTGTAATACTTTTTGGTGTTTTACAGAAAAAGGATATATGGTGTGACACCATTTATATAAAATATATTTACTTGTTCATTTGTTCATTCAGTCGCGCATTTATGCAACAAATATACTCTGATGCTCTGAGAAGGCTTAAACTTCGTGCCTCTTTAAACCAATGTTAAGTATCTGCTTGCCATTCTTTTGGAGGAGAAGCTGAGCCCTGCATGGGGGAGAGTGAAGAGAGCGACAGCTGGTCGCCAGGATCTGTCTCTCCTCTCTACCCTTCCAGATCCTGCTCAGCAAAGCACAGCCCCACAGTCAAACTGACCCACCCTCCTTAGAAGGGAGCTTGGTGACCATTTCTGGCTCATCTAGCCTGCCCATTTGGGAGTCTCATGCCTCCATCTAAGGGGCTTATCAAAGCAACAGTGCTTCCATCTCCTTAAATTTCCAGTAATGGTTTAGCATTTCACAGATGGCCATCCTGCTGTCCAGCTCATCGCATGACCCTGTACACATGGTAGGCCAAAACTGCCAACCTTCCACACTGATGTGGGCCCCCTACCCCCAAACAATAAGAAAACTTGCCAAAACATATTCAGTCTTTCCAGAACCTAACACCCCACAAAATGGAATAGACTATCACTTGTATGGCTGTTCCTGCTCAGTCTCCCTTTCAAACTTCTCTGCCTCCATCAGCCCTTTAAATGCTGGTGTCAGACAGGATTCAGTCCTTTTCCTCTCCCTGAGTGAACTTATCCAGGCCCACAGATCCCACTGACACCTGTACCCTGGTGACTACTCTCCAACTCATATCTCTAGCACATACCTTCCACCAAGCTCATGGGCTCCCTGTTAATCTCCATTCAGAGGCCCCACAAGTACCGCAATCTAAGCATATCAGTAATGGAGCTCATCACCTACCAACTCCTAGGCCTGTGTCTCCTCCTCAAGTCCCTTTCCTGGTGGATGGCATCACCAGCCACCAGTCTCCCAGGCCTCACAGTCATCCTGGACAGCTCCTGCCTACTCACTCCCCAAACCACTTCCTTCTCTAAGCTGGGGTGATTTTCCCTCCTTACCGACATCAGCAAGTACTGGTTTCATGTCTACTGGCCCTGTAAGACAATGAGCTTCTTGAGTGTAACCATACTGATTGATTTCTCCTGTCTCTTGTGCCTAACCCAATGCCTAATACGGTATTTCTTTTATATCACAACTTCATATATGCACACACACATATATACAGAAACAAAAATTTCACTAAACAGTACTTATCCTTTCTTCATGTGATACCCTCTGGTTTTCTATTTGATTTCAATTTTTTTTTTAAGTTGGCTTTAACCCATTAAGCTAACTTCTGAACAAACTAATGGGACGTGATCAGCAGTTTGAAAAACACTGGGCTAACACATAATAAGTGTTTGATAAATATTTGTTGCATGCTTGCTTAATTAACAAATGAATGGCTGTATGAGATTTTTATCATTATTTCCATTTCACAGAGATAGATTTTCTTGCTCTGACTCCAGATCTTGTGGCTTTCCGCAATACCTCTTGGCCTGTAAGAGCCATTCCTGCCCCTATATTTTGCGATTCACCTGCTACCATTGGCCAATTGGTGTCAGAATCATTGTGTTGCTTAAGCATTTGGGTAAAAATATCCAGACTCTCAGGTTCTCATCCAAAGTCTATTATAAAGGTCTAATATGTACTAAAACTCTTCAAAATCAGGAATGTTCTCAATGGCACTGCTGTCTTCACAGCCCCCACCACCTCTTGCAGAGCTACGGATTTACTGTTCATGGGGCAGGGTGACATTTCGTTTCTTACTTTGGATTAAACCAGTCTGATAGCTGAAGTTCTTTTCTATCTTCCCTTCCTTTTTCTTTGTCTATGTCTTCTTCTTGATAACTTTGGGTCCTAAGTACAAAGAGAAAGCAAGCAGAGTAAGGCAGGGAGGACAGTCTGTGATGTCAAGGCAGTCAGGGAATATCTTGTTAAAACGTGCTCGTGGACAGAGAGAACATGTCTATCAAGTGAACCACCTAGAGGAAGATTCATGACACTAAACTTTTATTCACGAAAACACTTTTGATGAAAAGACACAGTACTTACCTTTCTACCCTTCTAAATCAGCAGTTAGTAATTTAATGACCCAAAGACCCTGAGGTCCTTTCAGAGGGTAAGGGAAAGTTCACCAAATAATCCTCATTAGAACATTTAATTGGTCTTTCCTGCAATCTAAACTTCAGCCTAAACCTCAAGTTAACTTGGGGAAAAAACAAAAAAATGCCCTAGTCCCAACCATAAACAAGATTTCTCGTGTGATTTCAACGAGCAAGAAAGACGAGTGATTGAGGTCATCACCATGAAACCATTCTATTTGGACTCTTTATAAATGTCTGGTGCGTGGACAAACACAGATGGCCATCCGATCACCTTACCCATTGTTAAACCAGCTCTGAAACCACCAGCCCCTCTGAGTGCTGCTGTCACCAACTTCTGAGTTTCTAAGAAATGAAAAAGATCACAGATATTTTTAGACAATGAAACACTTTCTTTTTATGACAGACCACTTTAAAAAAAAGCCAGTTCATAAAAACAGAAGTGAAGCTGTTCCCACTAAAGAGAGAGAAGAGGGACCCAAAGCTCCCCCACTATCCCCATCTTGGGCAAAGCTGGTACTCAGCTCATCCAGGGAGCCCCACCAGGGAGAAAAGGAGAGGAAAAGAAAGATGAAGGGGATGGGAAGCATTGAGACATAAACCTGAGTCCTGAATCTGCCATTTACTAGTTGTGTGACTGTGATAGGTCATTGTCCTTCTCTGAATCTCGATTTTCTCATCTAAAAAGTGTAGTTAATATAATAACAGTAGGCCTACCACGTAGATAACTTTGAAGCCTGAATGAAATTGCATACATGAAAGAGCTTTATATGCGGAAAATTACTGTAAAAAGCTGTAATCTTAATAATAAACCAATGCACATTTTCAAAAATTGTCTCTTTTGCTAAACTAGGAAAATTCAGGTTACCCAAAGTCATCAGTGACTAGCTCAGAAAACATGAGGGTCGCTGAACCAGAAGCTCAGGAAACTATAATCAGAAGCTACATTAGCCATCCACGTGGAGAACTTTCACGTTCTCTCACTGTGAGAACCTCTCCAAGTTGGGGGGCTTCTGGAGGAGAGGAAAAATGGGAGAAGGTGGGGAATCCACCTTCCTTCAGTTGGACAAATAAGGTGGTGATATGATTCATGAACAGAAATAATAATATGAAGAAACTTATTAAAAAGCCCATCGGCTTCCAGGAAGTGTTTGAGATGGCGTATGATAAAATATGTGTGGTTACGGTATACAGGAAAACAACACAAGAATAAAAAACAAAAGGGAAGAGAAACAGAGACATTTATTTAGTCACTCAGGTAGGTATTTTCACATGACCTTGGAAAGTTCCGCACGTGGATGGCCAAGGTAGGTCAGCGGTAATGTGTGTGTGTGTGTTTTCTTTTTCCTGAGGGGAGGGTTGGTCATCTCACTTTGTGAAGATAGGGCTTTTACCTTTTACCTTTATTTTCATTTTACAGCTAAGATATTGGCCTAGTGGGTTTGAGCAAGTTGCCAAGGTCCCAAGGCATGGGAACATAAAAGCAAGGATTTAATACTAGGGGATAAATTAGATCAGAAATGAAGGCTGGAGAAAATACAGGCAGTTAAGTACACTTTACTCTGAGCTTTCAGGAAACGAAGCCAAAAACCGGAAAATAATAGCTTACTAGCTCTACTGTCTTTAAAACAAACAATCAAAAAATGTTTTATTTAAAAAAAAGCACATGCACTAATTCATCAAGAGACTCAAACTTTTTTCCTGATCCTTAGTCTCAGAGAAATTTCTCCCATGGTCTTTACACATGTATTGGGCAGAATAATGGACAATATCTTTCCAGGTTATTTCTATCAGCAAGACAGGAATGTTTCCCAAATGATATCACTTAAAGAGACACTTGACATGAAGCAAGGGCAAAAAACAAGTCATGGTTCTATAAAGGCAAGTCTATGGGGACCAGAGGAATACAGTCCAGATCCCTAGGAATCCTACCCACTTCTCTCCAAGTTTGACCTGAGCTTGGTCACTGGCTCCTATATGAAGACTGGACTGTAGGGGGTGCAAAAGAAGATGTGGGAGACAGCAGTTAAAAAAACCAAACCAAACCCCTTGCCGTGGAGTCGACTCTGACTCATAGCCACCCTATAGGACAGAGTAGAACTGCCCCCCACCATAGGGTTTCCAAGGCTATAAATCTTTACGAAAGCAGACTGCCACCTCTTTCTCCTGTGGAGTGGCTGGTAGGTTTGAACAGCCAACCTTTCTGCTAGCAGTAGAGTGCTTAACCACTGTGCTACCAGGGCTACTTGGGAGATAGCAGTAGATAGCTAGAATTCAAAGGTACTTACTTTGAGTGATATAGCCACAAGAAAGAGCCTTCTGGGCTAAAAGCAAACAAGAAATAAAAAGATCATGTTACTTTTAATTCTGAAAAAAGCTATTTTGCAACGACTAATTGAAGCCTTGGGCTGAGTTGAGAGCCTGGGTTTGGGCTACTCCCAGGTTTCTACCTTCCTTTGAGACACAACCAATGATGTCAGGAAACTGGAAATTTGCAATTGCAGTCACCTCAAGATAGATAGCACAAGGGGTGGGAAGGAGGTCTCTGGATAATGTCAAATCATGATTTAAAAAAAGTGAGCTCTCTATTGCCTAGATGGATTGACATAGTGGCTGCAGCAATGGTCTCAAGCATAACAACGATTGTGTGGATGGCACAGGACTGGGCACTGTTTCGTTCTGTTGTACACAGGGTCGCTATGAGTCTGAACCAACTAGACTGCACCTAACAACACTGCCCAGAGGCTTCACTGAGGAAGACTGGCTACACAGGTGCATCCTCTCCTGCTACCTAATCAGGATGGGAACACCATTTGCCCAGGATTTATTTCTTCCTCTAAAAAATATAGTATTGATTACAGAGGCTAATGCTTTGTCCAACTCAGCTGTCTACAGAGCAGCTCCAACAGGCATTTCTTAAACTAATGAAGGCTGTAAAACTGTCTTAAGGCACCTACAAGGCTGGGCTGGTGAATATATGACTCCTCTACTGGACCACCTACATTCAATCATTCAACAAATACTTGCTGAGCATGTGTTATATGCCAAGTGCAGGGGAAACAGTGTTGGCCAAGACAGTCCCCATCCTAGTGGAGCATACAATCTAGAAGGGAAGGCAGACCCTATTCACATAATCACACAGTTACATGACTTCAAACTCCCAAGACACGCTACATAGAAAAAGCGTAAGTAACCGTGGGCACTTAATGGGAAATCCTGGAAGGTTTCTTAGAGGAGTAGGGTAATGTTTTAGCTGAGATCTGAAGTATGAATAGGAGGAGGTCACCAGGTGAAGAGTAAGTGGGAAGGAAGAGTGTTCCTGGAAGAGAAAAATATGCAATACAAAAGAGAAGTAGCCAGAGGGGAGACTGTGCTGGGACTTGCTGGGGATTTTGCCCTTGAAGAGTTCTAAGCAGGGGAAGGACAGGGTCTCATTTGCATCTGAAAAAGGTCCCTGGAGAATAGACTGCAAAACATGCAAAAGCCACTGCTGGGGAGCTGGCATATAAGGCCTAGGCAAAGTCAAAGAATGTGGATGATTGCATTCAACTCAGCCCCAAAATTGAAAAAAGTCACTTGAAGTCTAAGTCAGTAGCATTAGCGTTGAGTGCTTAGAAAAGTCCTGGGTTTGGGAGCAAACAAATCTGGGGCTCAGATGTGGCCACCTCTTACGTATGCACGTGCCATATTGCCCCATCTAGATCATAAACCCTTGAAGGTAGGAGTTCTACTTGGTTCCTGTTATAACCTGCACAACATTCAGCATAGACAAGAAGCCCAAGAAGGAATCCTGGGCAATGAATCAGAAGATCTGAATTTTCAATGAGAACTTGGACTTAAATTCACTGTTAGGTCATTTAACCTATTTGGTCTCCATTTTGTCATTTGAAAAATGGAGGCCCTTGACTAAAGAAAGGTTGTGTAGTAAAGAGAATGGGCTACAGTCAGACAGCCCTGGCCCTAAGTCTTCCTGAAAATGTGACTTTTAACAAGTCATTTAACATTTTTTAAAAATAATATTTCAGAACTCAAATTCTAGTAAGAAGACCAGACTTAATGGTTTGACTGAGACTGGAGGAACCCCGGAAAGCACGGCCCCTGGATTCTGTATCAGCCCAGAACTAAAACAATATCCGAAGCCAACTCTTCAGACAGGGACTGGACTGGACTGTGGGACATAAAGTGATACTCATGAGGAGTGCGCCTCTTAGCTCAAGTAGATACGAGAGACTAAACGGGCAGCTTCTGTCCGGAGGAGAGATGGGAAGGCACAGAGGGTTAGGAGCTTGTTGAATGGACATGGGGAATCAGGGGTGGAAAGGAGGAGTGTGCTGTCACAGTATGGGGAGAGCAATTAGGGTCACATA